TGTATTGAAATACAACATTGCAAAAAAAGAAAAAAATTTTATGAAAATGACAAAGTACAATAGATGCACGTAATTGCATATAAACAAGGTAGAAGGTTAAACTCCACTAAATACATATACTTTTTTCACAAAATTCCCTGCGTCAGTTATGAATACATAATGCTTCAGTGCGTTTTTAAAGAAAGCAAGTTGAGAACCATTGATCAGGAATCGTTGATACAGAATATACGTTACTAACCACAAAGTACTTGTGTTTTATAATTATTAAAACTTGGTCATTTCTTACTGACTAACAAATTTGCTATCGTAAGTTATTCTCAACTTTTCTTCACTTCAGAAAATGTAATTCAAAATGTTAAATTATAATTTTTCTCAATATAAACGGATTCAGTTAAATATCACAGAACAACATTGCAGCTTACTGAAAAATAATCTGTACAATTCGATTAATCGATTCTGATCGATACTAAATACATTAAAGTCGATAATAAAACATAAATCGAATTAAGAATTTTTAATATAAATTAAGTTTAGTTAACTTAAAATCATATTTGCAGACATTAAATTTAAAATTATACTTTTTGTAGGCGTAATTAATTATTCAAGAAGGAAGTCAATGAATAACAGAATCCTTTTCTAAAGATTAGAAAGAACTGCTTTGATAAAACCATATTTTAGAGTTTATAATATATTGGGAAATTAAATGAACAGTATCGCAGAAACGTGTAATCATCTTAAAAAGGAGTACGATGGGTGTTTTAAATTTTGGTTTTCCGAGAAATTTCTTAAAGGAGACTTAGACGATTCAATGTGTTCAAATCATTTCAAATTGTACAATCAGTGCCTTCAGGTAATTCAATTGAATTTTTTCTTAATTTTATTATTTTTAATTAAGTTCTTCAATTCAAAAATGTGAAAGTCAAAATTACCGATTTAAAAAACAGGCATTTTTTTGTAAAAAATTCTACAAACAAATGTATTTGTATAAGCTATCAATTTATGGGATAATGTTATAAATATTTGGTGAAATTGATATTTGAAAAATTCTGTTTATTTTTTCGTGAACTACCCTTGTTCATTTTTTAATTCGAATGTTGGGAAAATATGTGTGAGAAATGGAAGGACATTTATTACGTGATACGTGACGGAAAGCTTTCCTAATTTGTGAAATATATGAATTACATAATTTTTATGCTTTCCTACATGAGTTACAAAGTAAAATTTGGATGAATAATTAAACAATGATGTTCGTTTAACTGACGTTGAGTAAACTAATGTTTGATTTAACTTACATACGCGTGAATGATAGAGCGAAGAAAGGTTAAATTATTTTGGTAGAAATAAATGTAATGATAAATTATGGAAGCTTGTAAAGAATTGAAAGAAAAATACGATCGCTGCTTTAATGATTGGTTTTCTGAAAAATTTTTACGTGGAATTTACGACGATGCAGAATGTGCACCATTACTTAAAGTTTATACGAAGTGTGTAGAAGTAAGTTAAACTTGGCAAAAAAAAACGTTATTTGCTTTTAATTTTTAGTTTTTAACCTTCTTCCTTAACCAAAAAGAAATGATATAATTAGGAAAGATTCACTTATAACATGAATAATTATGTGGACTGTAAGAGTTATATTTAAAAATTATAAACATTCGTGTAATTGTGATAGCTTAAACTTTTGAAATATTAAACATGAATTTAAAGACTTTGATTTTATTAGAATTTCGTTAAATTTACTAGAATTTAAAAGCTAAATATTGATTAACCTCAATTATGCCTAACCTCAATTATTCGTACATTGATATAAGTCACATGTAAATTTGCTATGTTCACATGTTCAAATTCTTTTTAAATATTTGATTATAGAAAAAATAATTTTTTATATAATTGGGAAATGTTCCTTACTTATCAAAATTATGTTTCAGGAAGCCATGAAAGCTCAAAATATAAATGTGGATGAAGTGAATGTAGCTCATTTTGGAACAGAACAGGAAAAGAAAACTGAAACTTGATGACTATGTTTTTAATAGCATTTTCTTTTAATATGTTATAAAAATGTGCTGATATATGTTTAAATAAATTATTATTATA